ACTCTGTCTCTGGTGAAGCCTCTCACCGCCCCTGAGCCTCTGGCCTGTACCCCAGTTCTGTATGCACAAATAAATAAATCTTTAAAAAAAAAACACCAGATGATCCCTATAATAGACCCATATCCACCCCGAGGATTTCCATGAAGCATATACTACCTCATAATGAAGGGAATAAACGGTGCCAAGCTGAGAGCAGAATAAGTGCCATCCATTGGGGAGGGATAGAGTCTCTCCAGCACCAAAAGTAAGAGAAACATGCTTGGATGGTGGTTGAGCTCCCCGGTATCACTGAAAAATAAAAAAAATTACACATCAAAGATTTAAAATTTAAAAGGTCAGGTACCACCTTCAAATATTTTTCTCATTAAATAATTACATATCTAAAGTGAGGCTCTATGATCAAGGAGTAGTTTTTCTTTCTTTTTTTGCTTTTTCCCTTCCTTTCACTTCTTTTTTTCCCTAAAGTGCAAATAAAGAAGAACTACTGGAAAAGTTGTGTATTGGACTTTTGCAGACGACTCCCTTCTCAGAGTTAATCATTTGATAATTCAAGTCTACTTTTTGATTTGAGCTGTTCATCCAGGAAAGAGATGCCTATTCCAGAGTATGAAATGTGAAACTTTCAGCATTCCAATGTACTTCAGAAGCCACGAACAGTCATTAGGGCCAAAAAAGCCTGCCGGCACAAATGACTAATATGAGGAAATGTAACATAAACAGAAGTAAAATTCATTGATGTTATTTTATCTTCTTATTCCAGGCCACTAGTATAAGTTCAGATCAAGTACAAAAACTGCTAAAAGAATTAAAAAAGTACACATTCTAAAATGTCCAAACTAAAAATTCTATTACCAGCTACAGAATAGGATTGAAAGCACAATAGGGAACTTTTCTATCTGCCCCATCACACTAACAGTTCTCTTAGTGGCTTCATTTTTTATTCCTGAGGTCACTGGTCAGTTTTATGCAGGTGAACCAAGTACCATTTCTGACCACAAATGACCACACAATTCAGAGCCCACTGCTGTAGTTTTACAATGAATGGTTACCTGTAATAGGCCAGTAATCAAAAATGACAGGTGTGTATTCAAATGATGTTATTATATTGATATAAACACATTTTTAAAAAACTTAATAGGAAGAAATAAATTACAAAGCTCTTCTAAGAAGTTAGTTCCTGCATTAACACTGAAAACAGGATTAAATTTTATAAAACAGGATTCCAAAATTATAAAATTAAAAAGAATTTTACAGAACATTCCAGGTACAGATCCACTATAGATAATCAGACAACATGATATATAAAGAAGCACTTTTTAAAAATCCACCTATGTTAGAGGAAAGAATTGATTAAAAGCAGTTGCCAGGAGGGGAAATCTTGGTTAATAAAGTAATTCCTATTCCTGATTGCACTTTGCCCTACCCTATAGTCTTCTTACCTGTCCACAGTATTGGCTACAGCTTCCAACTGTTTGAGAAGAAAGGGATAGAGTTCTGGAAAACGAGAGAAAAATTCGCTCCCTGTCATTCTGTAGAGAGAAGAGGGAAAAAAGATAAATTACTACCACTTATTTATTCTGATTTGCTAATGAGGCTTTTTTTTTTTTTTAAATAAGGAAGATAAGTAAGGTCATTTGTTTGGATATTTAATGAAATACAGTTAAGAACAAAAGCTGCATATAAAGAATTTAACAAACCAATAGAAATAATACATTTGATTTTATTTTGGAAGTGCTCTTAACCCATGGACTTTTACTTCAAAATTTAAGATTATGTATATTATAAGTATTTGATAGTAAATTCGATTAGGGTAAAAATATGTAATTTGTGAAAAAGCCACACTTCTATAGTTGATTTGGCTGCACAGATACTCAACACCTGGTTGACTAAGACTGACTCAGCTTTAATGGTAAGGTCAAGTCTGGACCAAGATTTCTCAAAGGTGGCACCAATTGGAATCAGATAATCCTTTGTTGTGGGGGGCTATTTTGTGCATTATAGGATATTTAGCTTCCACTGCTGGGCCACTGCATGGCTTCTACTCAGTAGATCCCCAGTGGCACAATCATCCTCCACCCCCCAGCATCACAGCCAGTCATGACAATCAAAAATGTGTCTGGACAATGGTAAATGTATCTGTGGGGCAAAATGGACCAGCTGAATACTGTCATCAGAAGTAAAAACTTGGATGTGAGATTCTGATAGCTAATCCCAGCGGACACCCGGGAGGATTACCTACTCCATTTTTATAAACAGTACTCTAAAACACTGAGAGGGCCGAGTTCCTTAAGATTGTACCACTGTCAAAGCACTCAAGCTAAATAAAGCATTCAGTTAAATATACTGTCTTCATAATTAGTAGAGAACTACTCTGCAGGGGTGGTATAACTATTTCCTAACCTGCTCCCACTTATCAATTCTATAATTATGTTCCTACTAGTAGAGACTTCCAAATAACTTATCTTTTGAAGTTGAGGTATATTTTACACACAGTGAAATGCTCAAATCTTAAGTGTATCATTGGATCAGTTTTCACAAGGGTATGTATACTCATGTAATCCATATCCATAGGATGACTCAGAAAATTTCTATCAATCCCAAAAGTTCACTTTGCCACTTCCTTCCAGCCAACTCTCTATCCTCAAAGCAAGCACTGATTTGATCTTGAACACCACAATTTGGTTTTGTCTATTTCTAGAATTTCCTATAAATGTAATCATACATTACATAATTATTACATAAACATCATACATGAATTTTTATATATTTGTTACTCAGTGTAATGTTTATGAGAGTCATTCACATTCAGAGTATTAACAGTTTAATTCTTTTGTAGAGTAATATTCCATTGTATGAATCTACCAGTTTGCTTATTCTTTTGACAGACCCCACTGTTTCTATTCTGTTAATTGACCATTACGAATGAAGCTGCTATGGATATTATTGTACAGGCTTTTTTTGTGGACATATTCTTTCGTTTCTCTTGAATATCTGCAAATAAAAATTCAGTATGTTCACAAAAAATTTTAGGAAACTGATAGGTTTCAAAAATAATTATAGCATCTGACACTCCCAACAATACACGAGCTTTACATCCTTTCTAACATTTGCTGTTGGCTTTTTTCCATTTTAGCCTTTCCTGAGGTAGTTTCTCTCTCTGTGATTCTGATTTGCATTTCCATGATGCATTTGGTCACTGGTATGAACTTTTGTGAAGTATCTTTTCAAGGTTTTTGCCCATTTTTCATTTAAGATGTTTATTTTTACTGCATATACTTTCTCCCAGCCTGTAGATTACTGATTCTTCATGTATTTTAATAAGTAGAATTTTTAAAATATTGATGAAGTCTGATAAATTTTTTTTTCTTTTATGATTCATGCTTTCTATGGGCTAAGAAATCTTTGCCTACTCCAACATCACAAAGGTGTTGTTTTCTTCTAAAAGCTTCATAGTATTATCTTTTATGTGGAGGCCAGTGATTCACCACAAATTAACTCATAACATGGTTTGAGTTAGTATGGCATGGTCAGTGGTCTTGGAGCTTAAAATTTGATTAGAAAAGCCTATCATAAACATAGAATAGAACTAATAATGTAAGGCAAACCAGTGTAAGGATCAAATAACTGATGTTTACAAAAAGTACAAAGTTGGAAAAGGGGACTAGATTAGGGAAGTGGTTAGGGCAAGTTGTGTGGGAACCATGAGTCTTGAAAATTGGTAAAAATGTATTATAAAGGAGGTCTAGAAGTAGGGAAGAGGTGTAGAAGTACAGGAGTCAAGTTAATAAAGCTGGCTGGATGAAAGAGGACTTCATGTCAAGACAAGGAAGAAAAGACAGGATGGCATGTCATCTTTTAGAACTCTGCATGCCAGATGAAGCAGCTTTTCCTTGTCTTCTAGACACTGAAAGTTTCTAAGCATGAGAGAGATGGTACAAAAGCAGATAACTACATTGCAGAGAGAACAGAAATGTGGTAAACCAATGGACATTATATGAACAATGGATCCACTGTCCACTGGTACACAAAGGCCATAAGTGTGCCATTTTCCCTCAACTAGAGCACAAATATCTATAGGTAATGGACCATATTTGTACTTGTCTGCATCTCTCCTGATACATAAGACAATATTATGTAAATGTTGGATAACTGGTCTATATTTTGGCAATGGAGAAACAGCATTAGTCAGAGAAAGTAAAAACATTCTAATATAGTTTATCTCAAGCCTATGCTTTATGACTCTTCTCTCAGTGATTGGTACCCTAGTGGACACCTACCTACCCACCCAATTTCCCCTGCCAGAGCCCCCAACTCCCCATGCACACATTCAGTGGAGGAAAGCTTGCTGTTTCTACCTCCACAGTCTATGTGCTAAGCTGACTTCTCTCCATCCCACTACTGCCCACCCAGTGCCTGGATACTGTGCAGGTGCAACCCTCACTTGCCCTCTTTGCCTCAAACCTCCCCTTCCTATAATTCTGTCTGGATAAGCATTCTCTTTCTGATGTATCAATCTAATGTGACATTATGAGATTAATGACTCCTTGTTTTTTTTTTTGGATACGGTTTAACTCCTCAGCCTAGTTTACAAAGTGGTGCTTAAGCTGACTCACTTATCTAGCTTTTTTTGCCTCTCCCCCTTCTAATCATATGGAATTTTGTTTGACTCTATCAACATTCTCTCCTAATCTCCAGATTTTAGCAAAATTGTAACTTCTGCTAGGAACGGCTTCTCCTCTTCCCCATCCCAGATTAATTCTAAATACTCCTTCAATTTTCAATTCTGGATAGAGGCTGATTCTTCCAGGATACCTTCCCTGAAGTTTCAAGTCTGGTCAGATGCCTGTCAATGGAGTTACAATTTATAAACACCCCATTATAGTACTTAACATATGTCATGAAATTTCCTATTTACTTGTTTTCCACCAGAGTATACATTCTGCACAGACAGAGACTATATCTATCTTACTTTCCACACTATATCAGGTATTAACTATGATGCTCTGATCACAGCTGGTGTCTAATAAACAGTTACTAAATGAATGAGGCAAAACAAAAGTTGAGTCCTTGACTCAGAGAAAAGAACTATGACTAGGGTTGTAGTAAGTATTAATTTCCTTAAATCCTTCATTAGCTATATCCAAGGATAATCAGAATCATCATTTGAATTAATCAATTGAATATACTCTGCCAGGGCTTGAAATGTTCTTAAACACAAATATATAAAGCTTGACTCACTGGTTTGCAAACAGTTCAATTTTAGTTCACCCAAATAAGCAAACAGGTTGATAAGTTACCTCCACAGATACAGCAAGCCCTGGGGGTAAATTCTCCAGTGACAGGCATTTCAAACCTGTTTATTTATGTAGCTAAAAACTAGCAGAGCAACTTTATGAAAACAAGAGAAGTGATCACCAAAAAAAAAACAAAAAAAAACAGAAACCTCTGGTAAATTCAGGCTCCTAAGAAGACAAAAGGAGATGTCGAGAAAATTGTGAATGGAATGAAACAGAGAGGTGAAGGGGTAAACAAACCAGTCAGGATAAGGAGGGAGAAAAATGCAGCATTAATCCAGAACTGTCAGACCACACCAAAGGTAAGTTATTCGCTACCCCACTAGGGAAGAATCAGGAAAGCAAAGCCAACGAGAGGATCTTGGTGAAACACAGATGCTTCTTGGATAAATCTACCTACTGTAAGCACCAAATAAAGTGCCAGAAGCAGAGGCAGCTGTGCAACACCCCCCACACCCCACCACCCCAGGCAGGCATTCCTCTGCCTGCCAGGTTCAGTGCTGGACTCCCAGAAGTCCAGTCAGAGCCTAGAACAAAGTAGGCAGGCAACAGAGGTTTACTGAATGAGTGAAAATGCCTGCCCAGAATTTTCAATTGTTTTTTTTTTTTAAATACTCTAGTGCTACTTGTTTATTGTGGGAAAAGCAGATAAGACTATTACAGAGAAAAAATACCTAAACCTCCAAAGATAGCTGCCAGTCTGTCTTGAAGTCTGTCTATCTACACCTTTCTCTCCTTAGCTGTTGTTCAATAATCTGCTTTTCATACTTAAGAATGTATCGAGAACAGTGTTATCAATGAACCTATTTTAACATAATAGCCCCTGTGTGGTGAACTCTCTGTGCTTCCCTGTTTGAAATGTGGCCAGAGCACTAATCCAGACACCAACCCAGAATGACTCATCTCTACCTTGGCTAAGGCCTGCATGAAGGCAAGCAAGTGGAGAGCTTCCCTTTGTCTGCACATTCCACATTGAATCTTGGTATTGCGGACAGTCTATATTTGAGAGCACCTGAGCCTTGACCATTTGGTAGTCTTAGAATCCAGCCTATCACCTAACAGCCTGAAAAGTCTTTCAGAGACCTCCAAGAGTTGCCCCACACACGAAAAGCTGAAATGCGAGATGCACAGACTTCTGAGCTTAACAAAAACATCCTGATGAACTAATATGCAACTACCAGAAATATTTGGTGAAACATGTTCAAAGTAAGAAGCAGATATTCTTACTCCCCAAT